GGGCTCTTGGAGCCTTTGATGCAGCTCCCTCTGACTAGGAAGGGTCAGGAGTCCTTTAACTGGTGCTTGGGAGGGACCTGCCCTGAGGGCAGCCAACAGAGCCATCAGTTTGTGCAGCAGGGTGTGAAGAAAAATTGAAATAAGGGGGCCTCCATTGAAGCTGTGGGGCTGTGACAGACACGGTGGTAACAGGGCAGTTTCCCCAGAAGGTGAAGAAACAGCTGTCCCTGCTAGGGCAGAGGCTTCCACACAGAGTGGCTGCAACCCTCCAAGTCCCAGACTTGAGGGGGTGTCAGGAACCTCTCCCTGAGGCCAAGGGAGCTGTCTCTCAGCCCTGCAGCCCTCTTGGAGGAGCTGTGCTGGCAAGTGGAGGAGGTCGGGAGGAACATACAAACTGTGGAGCTTCAGAGGAAGTGGAAGGGAGAGAGACAGGGTCCTCTCCGAGACACAACAGCGTGAAGACTGTCAGTCCCCTCCTGCGATGGAAAAGCGGGCAGTTTCTATGCCTGCTAGCAGAGTAAGAAAATATTCTGGAGAACTGGAAAGATAGAAGCTGATGACTTCTTTTATCAAGAGGAAGCTCCCACCTCATCTAGGAACAGATTGACTGCCCTCATAATTGAGGAGGAGCCAGATGTGTCCCCTAGCAAAGGATGTGGCACACTTAGCTGTAAACCATGTGGGTCTAGCAGGAAGAATGGTGAAACCCTGCAGTGGGTGACTCCCTGCTGCGAGGACAAAGGATCCATCTGTAGGCCTGACCAACCATCTAGAGATGCTTGCTGCCTGGGAGGGGCCAGGGTCCAGGATGTTGTGCAGAGACTGCCAAAGCCTGTCCAGCCCTCTGACTTCTATCCCCTGTTGTTGCTCCATTTGAGCACAAATGATACTGCTAGGGGAAACCAGTATATGCTGGGGGCTGTAGAGCTAAAAAGTAGCTTTGCAGAGAAGGACCTGGGAATATCGATGGACATCACAGGCCAACAATGTGCCCATACTGCAAAGAAGATAAATGGTATCTTTGGCCACATTAGACAAAGTATTGCCAGCAGGTCAAGGGAGGTCGTAATTTATGCAGTGCTGCTGAGGGCACTCCTGGAATGACACCTCCATATAAGAGACACGTGATACACTGAAGAGGCCCAATGAAGGGCCAGAACAATTATTAAGGGATTATTTCTCATATCTAAGATATGAGGAAAAACTAAGTGAACTGGGAATGTTTGGCTCGGACAACTCAGGGCGCTCTTATCCATGTGCATATATAACTGAAGGGAGGATGTAGAGATGAGAACATGATTTAATGGCCAACATGGTGCTGGTGTTAAGTTGATGGTTGGACTTGATGATTTTAAACATCTTTTCCATCCTTAATGATTTTATGATTCTTTTCAGTGGTGCCCAATGACAGGACTAGAAGTAATGGACACAAACTAAAACATAGGAGGTTCCCTCTGAACATCAGGAAACTTTTTTTACTGTGAGGATGACTGGGCACTGTCACAGGTGTCCCAAAAAGTGTGGGGTGTCTCCACACTTGGTGAAATGCAAAAGTCATCTGGAAATGGTCCTGGAAAACCAGTTGTAGATGAGGGGTGGACTTAGATGACCTCCTGAAGTCCCTTCAGTCTTAATTGTACTGTGATTCTGCAGAAAAATAGGACATCTAAACTGACAGAAGTTTCTGCTGAAGTTGTCACTTCTCTCAAATGTTTTTGCTCGTTGCTGGAGCCTGCCTGGCACAGAAGCGGCTATGGACAATGCAGAGTTGAACAGGTTCCTTTGCAACTCACTCATGGTGTGTTTGCCAAGTGGAGGAGTAATAGTTAGCAAGTTTGAAGTCTGTGATGTTCTGCAGGATCACTAGCCCATCCTGTTCAGTCCTTAGCAAACTAAAGCCTACAAAATACAATTACTATAATAATATAGTTAATATAATCAATATAATTAAAACCTACTCTCTATTACCAGTCTTGCACGGAAGTGTATGTTTTGCAGTTATCCCAGAGCTTTCGGAGAACTATTGCTCTCAGATTTCCCTTGGTAAGAAGAAATAGAAATACATCTGATGTTCTTGTTTTTTTATCAGTTGAACCTGTGATAATGAAATAAATCACTTCCCTGTAGGAACTCGAAAATCATAAAAAAATATCCACCATTGTTAAAAGCAAAATCACAACATTTGATTTAGTTTCAAATTGTTCCAGTGGCTATGTCTGCTAGTTATAGTACATTCACATCTTAAACTGCTATTATACCCCTGGTTTTATTGGTAACAAATCTGCCTTCCACAGTTTTCTCTTTGTTCTGCAATGGTATGAATCTCTAGAACAGTGAAACTTATAAGTATCTCTTAATCAATGTTCACCTAGGTCCGCTAATATAAAAGATTATTGACATTTTATAAAAGAATTTTCAGCAAAGTAAACTTTAATTTAGTTCTTGAAAAAAGTTTTGCCACTAGAGACTTGCTAATGTGTTGTATTCTCATGGAAAATTGAATCCAAAGTGTACTGGTGATGCATTTTATGAATTTTGTGGTAGATTCATTTAAATATAGTTTTTCTATTGGTTTGAGATGAAAACAGTTTTACTGAAAACTGTTTATTTCATAAAGTATCTATCTGACTCCAAACACTGTGCTTTGGAGAAAGAGGTTGTTTTTATTTGTTTATAGATCAACAAAATTTGAGAATGCAATTTAGTGAATCATACCAGATTTTATTGCTACAGTTGGGGATAAGAGCTTTCTCTTGTGTGGAGCAGAACACATATTTTTTTATAGGATGAAGCTGGGTTTCTGAACAGCACTAAAACACAATCAGAAGTTTCAGAGTTCCAAGCTTAGTGATAATTTGTTGAAAATTTACCTCAATTTTCAGGAATACTTGGAAAGATAATGAGAAATGTATCTTAATTCAAAAAAATTTCATTTGGCAGCTATTTTGTTCGAGATTTACCGCTGATTTTATCCAGGAAACTAAATACAGCTCTGGCTGGAGAAACTGCTCTGACTTCCACCATTAATTTCCCAACTCCTCCCACCATATGAAGAGGGTTGGTTCATCACCCATATCAACTTGCAGCAGGATACCATCATTGCCACAGAATAATACACACGAATTTGTAAATTCTTTTAGCTAGCCCAAACTCGCACTAGATGATCAGCTTTTGCCTCAGTCTGATATAAAGTGAAACCCAACTGATGACTTACATAATGTGGGTATTAACTCCTTGACAGATGAGCAACAGACCATGTTATTTTTCTTTAGATTATCAACAAGGTTAGTGGAAAGATTGCTTCCTCCTCAGTTGTGTAGAGAGAGCCACATCCTGTCTCAGTATCACTCTTCTTTTTGTATGACTTTATATTGGTTACAGATGAAATGACCCCAATATAGTGCCATGGCAAAGATGTGATGCTGCTTTGCTACATAGTTTTTGGGTCAGAAGACCAGATTCATATTTGTTTTTCTTAATATCATTTTGGATAGCTCTGAAGGAAAGTAATTAGTTTGTGTGACCCATTGATTCCCTGAGGCTATTTATTATTTCTGTGTGTCCTAAATAGGGCATAAGTTTCTTTGGAATGAAGACATGAAGGGTGGCCTATAAAGGATGGGGAAATAGCAGAGTCTTTAATAGAGCTGATGTGTTTTCTTATTGCTTTTCTTTGTGTGTTGTCATGGAGAATAGTCAGAGAGAGCAAGGCAGTGGTAGAATTAAAAAAAAAAAAAAGAGGAAAAGGAAAAAAAGAATACTCAGTAATTAAACAAGAGTCTGGGATTATTCATGCCTGCTAAAGCCTCCCACAAGAGTGTTCTTCAGGTCATGTCAAATAGGCACCAGATAAGCCCAGGACTGTGATACATGGCTCTGTGCTCTGTGGCACACGCTGCAGAGATGCCTGCTTCAGAAAGTTGTAGCTCTTGTAAATACTGGTGACGGGGTCTCTTCTATCATTGTCTGCAGGCGTTCTAGCTTTACTCACCTTTAACTTGCCTGTGAGAAGAGCCATCAGGTTTTTGAAGAGTGATGTGAAATGGGGTTTTGTTTTCCTGAGAAGCTGTCTGGTGAGGCGGAGGGGCTCCATTAGGGATGTTCATAGCGTAGCTCTGCAGTAGATCAGGTAGCTACCGGCTTGCATAGCAACGTTGTGGCCAGCATATTAAATCATACGTCACTTTAACCAGCATTTGTCATCCAGAGGCTTCAAACCCTTCCTAAAAATAGAAAAAAGTGAATGCTTTTGCTCTCACACTAGAGAAGGAAAGGTTAAGGCAAAGAGAAGTCAAGTACTTTGTCCACAACCAACCATCTTATCTTGGGAGAATTTACTCCAAAATCCATACCTTCCATTTTCAATTATCTCCTTTTTTGTTCTGTGGTCTTCTCTTTTAGTTTCATTTTCTATGCATTAATTCAGGATTAAGTATGTAGACTGCAAATGCGTAAATAAATTCAATTGTGTTAGTTATGGAGTGACTAAAATTTCCATGTATTTTGTGTGATTTTTGTGAGAAGATATTTCTTAAGAAATATTATGAAACTATTTCATAGGGAAAAAAAATGCATGTTCTGCATTAAATAAAAAAAGGTAAAGGTGAAGATAATTTTTTTTTTCTTTTTCAGGATTTCTTAGAATGAGCTAAATGATTATCAGTCATCTGGCATGTATTTTAATCTCTTCATGTGTGTAAATCCTCCTTGTGGAGCCTAATGAAGCACTAAAATGCTGGAGTTTTAACTTCTATTTTTTAACTTCAAAACCCAGAATACGACTCAGGCAAGCACAGTGAAGTAGAAGCTGCCTGTGGATGTAAAACAGGAAGCAGAAGTAGATAGACACATGTGTAATAGGTTTGTGTTTGCTCTCTTGCTCAACTAGCTATACATCAATTTTAATTAACACGTTTTTTGCTTCAGCTGCTAACGTCCCTTCAGCAGTGAGTGGGTTATGTGTTTCCATCCTGCATATACCACCAGCATCACCACCACGTCCTTCTTTTGCTTCCCCCTCCCCTTTCTACACAAATGTTGCAACACAATCTGAAATTTCCTCTTTTCTTTCCTTCCTGCATTTCTTACAGGTTCCTTTGCGTCAGAAGGCAAAAAAGAAAAGTCAAGGTAATGAGAGATTGTTTTTTCTCTTCTCTCCTGGATTCCTCTTTTGTTATTTTCTTAGTATGTCTTATTCTTGGGAGGGTGAGGATTTTGTACTGCTGCTCATCTGGTGAAAATCTGCTTTTTTAACTCCACTGATTCTTACACCGATTCTGAGAAAAATGACAACGGGCTGTTCCTTTGGACTAAATCCTTGTGGTATGTTAATTGAATCAAAGCTGGAAATCAGTGAGGCAGAATCAGCAGCCTGCACAGACATACACACTAGTGGTTTTCATGTACTTGGCATAGTAGTTTTCTCTAGCTGACTTAAATGTATTCTTTTCAGTGCAGCTGTGTGAGGGGAAATCTATGCATGCTTCTCTTAAAAGGATCAAAGGCTGTATTTTTAATTTACAAAACCTCATGTATAGTTATCTTAGCATTAATTAGTATCTGCATTATCTATAGCTTACTGTTTTATTTCTGAACATCAGCAAGCCTTTAAAATGAATGTGTGTTGCTGTCATAGCCATTATAAAACTCAATGACTTCTAAGCATATTTTAAGATATGCTTGGATGACTTGCTGAGATTCCTAAGAAAGGATGATATCCTTAATTGGCAGTAACATCTTTCCTGGTAATGCAGCTTTAAGCAAGCACAACACTGTATTTTTAATGGCACAGGGTTCTTTATAATGAGCCGACGGAGGATATCGTGCAAAGAGCTGGGGCAAGCCGATTGCCAGGGATGGCTCTACAAAAAGAAGGAAAAAGGAGCTTTCATTGGCAACAAATGGAAAAAGTTCTGGTGTGTGCTAAAGGAGTCATCACTGTATTGGTACAGCAGTCAGCTGGTGAGTACAGCGTCCAGCCAGCCCCGGGTGCCAGACAAACAGCATCTGCTGGGACTCAGACAAGGGAAGCTGGGGTCACAATTTAGGTACACTCTGAGTACAAATAACTGGGTTTATTTCTCAACCCTGACACTTCTTGGGATCTGGGAAGACTTGTGAAATGTTGTGAAATGTTTACTTGCTGTTTGTTTTGCACTGTAAAGAGTTGTTCTTTAAGGGCACTAATGGCATTTGAATTTGAGAAATGTTTTCCTGGGTATAGGCAATTTGCAAACACTTGTTGTCAAGACTCAAAACAGGAATGCTTCTTCACTTCTTCTTCTGCTTCTTAATTTAATTTTCATAAATGTCTCTCCTGTTTCTCTTTCCATCCTCTTCCATACTGAGATTATTCTGTTTGTCTGCTTGGTTTATTTTTCTTTTTTTCTTTTATTTGCCTTTTGTTCTTTCTTTTACTTTTTGTCCCCCTTTCTTTTACTCTGTGCTTGTTTGATTGGGCAGAGATTTTGATTTGGCTTGATTGCCCATCCTAGGAAGATTCAGATATGGTTATTCCCTTCACTTTGCTGTCTGGCACTGCTACCTCTAAAAAGCTCTTATCACATTCAAATGATGGAGTGATAGAGCTAAGAATTAGAGTGTGAAGAGAATTAAAGTATGCCAGCAAAAACACAGGTTGAAACTCAGCAGCCAAACTGTAGATGGACATGAGGTTCCCTAATTGCAAAGTAGCTGCTCTGGAAATCAGCATGTCACAGGAACAGCAAAGGATGAAAGGTTAAAGAAACCCTTATTAATTCTTAGAGAATTTAAAAAAAAAAAATCAAAGACAAATCTGGATGATTTTCATCTACTTATTTCCACTGCAGTAATCCCCATCAAAAATTTTGCTATTTCTGGGAAAAAAATAAAATTGTTTAAGCCATTAAAAAAAATCCTCATACCCTAAACAAAGCTTTAGTCACGTAGCCTATTTCACATTCTCCCTTCAGTTGTGGGTATAGTGTTAGTGGTTTTTTGTGGGGTTTTTTTTTGCTTGTGTGTGAGAGAGATATTTGTTTACTTTTTAAAAATACAAATAAAAACTTTGACTGGTACTTCAAGATGATATTAACTATTTCTTTTTGGGGTAAAGGAAAGCAACTCTGCTGGTCTTGGGCTGTTGCTTTTTATGACAGTGGTAGTCTGGTATAGATTTCTTTCAATACTATTTCAAACACATGCATAGAAAGAAAAGAAATAGGAAAATTGGGGGAAAACAGTTTTAAAGAGGCACTTTTATCCTAATACTAACAGTATCCCTGCTTGAAAGATATGGTGAGGCAGTAATGCTAATGAGAAGTGTTAATACCTTGCAAAACCTTATTAATATTGGCTCTTATAAATCTGTGTTTGCAGTTGTATTTCTGGCCAAGCAGTTTTAATAAAGGTGAGCTGGCTGGCTGACATGTCTCTTTAGATACAGAAAATATCAGAAATGAGTAATCCTGGGGAGTAATCGAGATGGGAGGAAATAAAAAAGGCAAGACTGGGAAAAGTTTGCCTCTTGGAAGAGAAGAGTGATGGGGGAGAAGTGCAAATTCCTCCACTTCCTTCAGTTGTTCTGGCCTGGTTAAATTCCACTCCTGAGATCCAGAGAAACTGTGATCATGCTGGTTCCAGTGCTCCTAGACAGCACTCATCCTTTTAGTCCATGCCTAATTCCTGACTGTCACTGACTGCCCCCAAGTAAACAAGGCTGAAAAATAAGTGTCAGCCTCATTCCAATTTATTTCATTTCCTCTGAAGAGCTCACATGGCTTCAAAGTACTCCTGTCTTGTGTCTGAGTTCTCACCTATCACAGTTGTGCTTTAGGCATGCTAGCTGGTAGTACTTCTTTGTTTTCAACTTCTGCCATGTAACTACAGAGTCAGTTGGCGTATGCAGAATGTCAGTAACTGTGGGGTTTGGAAAAGGAGAGGAAGTGTTCTTTGCTAAGGCCTGCTTTCATAAATTCTTGAGACCAGAGGCATGCTCAGAGTTGTATGTGAGATCAATTAGACCCAGATATTCTCACTCCTAGGTTGGTGAAGGAGAAATTGCAGTGACACATTCGCTTGCTTGCTTGCCAAGACTCTGGCCTGGCATTAGGACTGCCTGCACTTCCACTGTCTTCAGTAAAGTTAATCCTTGGTCCCAGGGGGTGCACAAAATGGCAGTCTAAAATTGTGTTGAAACAGGAGTCCAGCTTCTCACGTGCCTGAGGCTTCCTGTGACCAGCCCTTTTACAGAGGCTGATGCTAAAGGTGGTGATGAAAGAGTGGGGCTGACATCAAAGGGACTGGGGCATGCTGGCTGCCTGTAGCTCTGCTTGACCAGTTTGGTTCTGGTGAGAAATGAGCATGGCTTGTTTGTGGCTGTGTGAAAACCAGACACTGGCAACTGTAGCATAGCAACAGGGTGCTGGACCTTTTTTCTAATGGAGATGGAGAAAATAGAGAGTGGGTGGAATTTGTATGGGAACATGCATTATTTTGGATTTGGGTAGATAACCTCATCTGAATATCATCTTCTTGGTCAAGTTTGTCTTCATGTGCCTCTGAAGCTCAGGATGTTTCTGTCACTCTGGCTTAATTTTTCTTCAAACCACTCTGGTTCTGGGTCTCTCATGAGAGGCAGATTTGGGTACATGATATAGGACACCTGTTGTGACATCTGCAGCTGGTATTTCCTTCAATTTAACATAAAATATTTTGTGAATGCCACAGCTCAAAAGAATAAAAATAATAAGCAGGTCAGCAATAGCAGATCAGACAGCCCAAGAGTCAAACTTCTCCTTCATCGAAATAAAGCTAGAGAACACAGGCAAATCTGAATAAATTTTCAATGAGTTAGCTGAGGTCAAGGCCCAGTGGTCTCAGCAGGCTTGGGAAGGCTGCCCTGGAACCTCTTCCCACACACCCTTATTATTTCTATAAAACATGAGGCAAGTAAACTTCTCTTTGCAGCATGGAAGCGCTCCCATTCTGGGGATGGGAAGCTGTTTGGACTAGGAGGAAGCACAAAGGGGTTGGTTTTGCTAAAAAAACAAACCAGGAAATGTCACAATTTTTCCTGAAAACACAGGAAATGTCAGAAAATATATTTTTCTGGCTTTCTGGGTGCATTCAAGAACACCAGACTCTTTGGATAACTGCTCTTCATTAGTGTCCGTTTCTTTTTTTCCAGTACCGCTCTCTGCAGGCAGCTGCCTTGAAGACAAGTGTTTAAACAGTACAGTTTGTGATCCTGCCTGACCCTTTAGCTGTTTCAATTCTCATACTGAAACCCCAGAGGGAATTAGTACTCCTACATAGCAAGAGAGGTGGTGGGGGAGGATTGTCACATGTAATCCCGGGCTCCTGGCTCTTTGTGCTTGTTTCGACTGTGTTTGGTAGTGTTGGCTGGAATGGGACAAAGGACTAAATGCCTCTGGCTGGTGGGTCTTTAGGGTAGCTTGACTGGTTTTCCAAATAGAGTTGAAATGATTTTTACAGAATGTGTTAATGGTGGTTGTCATGGGGATTCAGCTGAAAAGAAATATAAATATAAAATAAAAGAGTTGCAGGCTGTGATCTACTGTCACTATTTATCTTTGTAGGGTTGTTTTTTTTTTCCCCTCATTCACTGCATTTAAATTGGTCCTCGCTCCAACAGCTTTGCTGGAAGCTGTATAATTACAGTCTTTTAGAAGAAAAATCTTTTACCTTTGAGTTGTAATAGCTGCTTATGTGGATGAGAAAAAGTCATTGATGTCAGCTGGTTGAGCTGAGAGACTTGGGGACCTATGGCCCAATATCTAACACAAATTATTCACACTTCTATAGGATGTCTCATTGGTGTACTTGGCAGAGAGAATAAAAAGACTAAAATTCTAACCTGCTTCTCCAACATCTATAGGGTCTTCTGGGGGCAGTGCTGAAACACTGATGAAGCCATCAGGACTACCCTGATTTGCACATTGGAGCTGTTCCACAATAACAAGATATTTCATTTTCTAACACTATTTTTTAAAATCCTGCTGCAGCATTACACTACCTTTAAATGACTTAATAAATCTCCTAAAGCCACAACATTTAGATAACATATTGAGGCAATCTCAAAAGGACATTCACCTCTTTCATTGGATTCATGCATTGTGCTTCTTAAATAATTTCTTTTTTTTTTTAAGTGCAAAGTTTTTCTGTGAAAAAATGGCTGCTTTCTTTTTTTTTTTTTGCCACAAGAATTTGCAGAGATTGTTGTTATTAATGAAATTATTTTTCTACAACTTGGAATAGCAAAAGCACGGATCAATGTTAGGCTAACCTCTATAAAACCCACAAGAGATAACAGCTTATTCTTTTAAACATCCTGATTAAGTAGAAAACAGGTCAAGGTTCTCTTTTATCTGAGTTTTTTTAGACCTATTTTACAGCTTTGCATCAAAATCTGAAGGAATCTTGAATGTAATATGTGAGTTAAATAATAGCATGCTAAAGTCATGTTAGTGATAACATTTTGGAGGAAAGCAAGCACTTAGAGTGTCTATACGCTTTAAATGTTTTAAAATGTCATTTTTATCCCAAGAATGACTGAAAAGATGACTTCCACATGCTCTGTTCCTAGGATTTATTTAGAATTCTATTTGCTGACTGAAATAACAGCCTCGGGATTTTAAATCACTTTTTTTCCTTTTTTCCTTGTTTTCTTTGTTTTGTTGGTTTTTTTTTTCCCTGATAATTACAAAGATACATACCCACCAAACCACTCTTTTTCTGTTACATAGATGGCACATTCTGGATGTGTACAAATAGTGTATTTCACTCACACATAAAATGAAACCTAAATTTGTCTTTAAGTGAACAAATATGAAATCACAGACAGAACCAGTATAAAATCTGAATGCATTGAGAGAGAATGTGTATGTGAGAACATAATCTTTAGCAACTGGAACAGGCCAAATACTGCATAAGAAGTCGAGGGTTTCTCTGTTGTACAACTGTTAAAATTAAAGTGCTGAAATAAAGGCTACAGATCTATATTCATTACTAATTTAGAGAGCATTCCCCTAATCTAGATAGAGGGATCTATCTAAATTACTGATGGGTTGTCAGTAGTTCAAGCCCAAGTTCCATTTCTGCATGGCTGGGAGTGTTCCAGGTGAGTGTCTCCACACTGGCTTTTGGGGTGCTGGTGATTCACTAGTCCAATACAAAATCCAAATGCTCAAATACTTTTATACATTGACAGGAGAGACAGTGACTTATCTAATGGCATTTCATGGACTTAATCCCCTCAGGAGTACTTTTGCAGCACTCTGAACTGTTTATAGCGTGCAGTCTAAACCAGCGGTTTCTGCACTGATAAATGGAACTGGCTGAGTTGTAACTGGATTTGAAACATGGAAGAAAGGCCAAATCTGTCCCAGACTTGAGTCACTCACTCACCCACCTGATGGCTTACCCAGCTCAGGCCACAGATTTATTGCTGCATACCCATGGTATGGGTTTATTCCTTCACCCAAGGGTCTCGTGGATGACTTTTTCTTAAACTGGGAGTATTGATTCATACTGCAGAGAAGCAACTGGCATTGTATGCATTTCTCATCCAGCAATGTGTGCAATAGTGATTGTTGTACCTCATGGACAGATTTTTGAGCTTTTTTGGTCTCTGGTATTCTCAGACTGGTCTTGGGAACTAAACAGGAATTTCGGTGTTCCGGATCCAGTAAGTGATCATCTTTTTGGAACAGAAATGCTGGATAATACAATCTCTACCTTTAGTAGAGTGCATCCCAAGAATAGTGCTCCTTCATTACTCACCAGTATTTATTTGCTCATCCCTATATACTTAATATACTATGGATCTGGTATGGTAATATTAGGTTTAGTTAGTTTTTATTTAATCTCAATGACTTTAGTCTCATGAAATTCCAACCTGCGGAATGGAAACAAAAGTTCCCTGAATTAGTCACTAAACAAGTTTTACAGAGATGAATACAATCAGAGAGTGTTAAAAGCCCACAGTAGCAAATAAGCACCTTTTCATACAAATACTACTAAACAAGAGATTTTCAGCCCAGATGTAAAAAAATAATTTTTTTCTCCTGTACTGAAAGAAAATAAGAAAAACCCCTTCCACTGATGTGTGTGGGGTGTGTGTGTGTGTGTGTGTGTGTCTGGTAGCAGCAAAACCATTCACTGGTGATGATGTAAAATATAAACTTCTCACATGAATGTTTAATACATGTAAATTACATGAATGATGGTTAGGCCATGATTTATTGTATACCAAAGAACAGATATGCAGATGTGAGGGGAAGCCACCCTCTGAAATATCCTTTCTGTATCCATATTTCAGTTCTTGGAGATTCATACTTCCAAGCATTAAAGCTTGTCTTGATGAACATCTTTTTATAGTCTTGTCATATTCATGCATAATGAGACTTGAGATACTGTCAGTCATCTTCATTTATCCTCTGCCTTTGTAATTGTTGTGTATATTTTACCTGCTTTAACTCAGTGTACATTTTCAGAATTTTAATGTGTCTACGAGCAATGGCTGGAAGCAGCAAAAATGTAATTCAGGAATGAGCACTCTGTGGTTTGGAAAGTACTTTTTTTCCTGACATTATGTCCTACAGACTTTTGTCTACATTATATGTTGCTTGTGTTACGAGGACTCCTAATCTTATTGCAGATGACCAGGTGTATGTAGATAGATGTAGTCAGGAAGGTGTTTCTGCTTCAGATGTTTCAATTTCAGGCAGCACAAACAAGGATTTGAGGCTTGTCACTTCTGTTTTTCTGGAGCAATGCTCTGACTCAGAGTCCTGCTGACTGAGAACAGAGACGTCAATGCTCAGTAAACCTTCTTGCAGGCAGAGTGGATATAAACAGGGTACTGTAAATGTAAATGTCTGCCTGGATTTTGCTACTTCTTGTACTATGCCTGAAAATTCCTGGAGGGAGTTATAGCTGTGTGACCAAAGCCCTCTGAGGCAGGTTTGCAGTGTTTAACCACAGAACTCAGCTGCGTGGGATGACCCCCTTGCACCCTGTGGGCTGGGAGCACTGCCTCTGCTTTGCTTCTGTACAGGTGGCCCTGCAAAATGGTCCATGCTGCAATTATACAGGGAACACCCTCCTCCATTTCTACTTAGAGTCATCTTGGGACACTTTTGAATTGTATTTTTCAACTATACATAGGTCATTTTACGTGCTGCTGTTACATGTCTGTGTGAGATACACACATGCTGTATCATACACAAACCCTCCTTTTGAGATGGTAGGTACCATCCAGACCTGAGCAGATGATATAACCCTTGTTCATCCTTATTAGTCAACAAAATCTATGCTTACACTCTGCCACTTGCACCAACAGGAGTGGTGGCTTTCCAGCACCCCAGATATGCGCAAATATAGCTGGGTGTAGAAATATTTCATCAGGCATTAATGTGTCCCCATGGTGATGAGCATATATTTTCACAGTATAAAAAGCTGTCAAAAACAAGCACTTGCATGTTAACTATTATTCAGCATTGGAGTCTACTAGCTTACCAGTTGGCTAATGTGGTGATATTCAATTTTTTTTTCTTTTATGGAAGGCTGAAAAAGCAGAAGGATTTATAAGACTTCCAGACTTCAGTGTGGATCGAGCAATTGAATGCAAAAAAAAGCAGTAAGTTTGTCTCTTGTTCGCAGTTTTGCATGATTTTTACAACATTGCAAGGAATGAATCTCAGCAGTCTTTGACAGTGAAGCTGTGGGGAGTTCTTTTGTGTTGTATAAATAATGAGATATTAATTGAGCTACTGAAAGAAAACCATATTGCAAAAATATTTTTGAAAAATCTCTGCCAGATGTGCTTTGCTAAAGCCACAAATAATAAAAAAACCCCAGATGTGTGCCAAATGCTTTCTTTTTCTTCTCATTTTTTTCATTTGCTGATTGTGAGTAGACTGTGGTTCTCAGATGCCCCCTCTTAGCTGAGGAGGTCAGCAGTGGTGCAAGTAATGCTGCATCTTTCCAACCCTGGACTATTCTTTAGGCTGCTGTGGTGCAACTGAACTTGGGCTGTACTTGAAGCCTTTGGTTGTGCAGGGAATAAATACTTTCTTCAGCAGGGTGCACATTAAAAAAATATTATCTCCAGACTCCATATGCAGCACTGACTTCCAGCTGCTTCTGGGCACCCTTCAAAGGTTTGGAGGGGTTGCTGTTGTTCGAAGTTATAAAGTGCAGCATGATTTTAATTGTGTCCCTCAAGAGAAAGCCTTCGTTTTACTGATGGAGAAGTCAGAAAACTCAGTCACTCTTCACCTACTGTGTGCTACTTGTGATTTTACTGTGTCACATGTCCCTTCCCTCAGTCAACAGTTTTCCACGCTTTGGGGTCTTAGCCTGATTGACCACAGCACACGGAAGATGTTCCATGTCTTGGGTCATTACTGGTGCTTTCTTCCAACATTTTTCAAGTTTGCTTTACATCTCAGAGCTGGAGGAAGCAAAACTGCACATAGTATTTGAGGAATGGGAAAGCAACAGAATTATGTAATGAAATAATGGAAGACTCTTTTAGTCTTTATTCCTTCCTGTTTCAGATCCTGTAGTTTATACACTCTGAATAATGTGTGGCCTAGGAAATTAGCTAAAAATAGACTAGAGTTTTAAAGAAAGAGCTGTACCAATGGACAAGCTAATCAGGATTAATACAGTGGAGTGAATAAATATTTTAAATAATTCATTCAGCTATTATATTTTCTTTTTTATGGAAACTAGTTTTCTTCACGTCTCTTCTTTTTTTCTATTCCTGAAGTGCTATTAAGATCAGCCACCCACAGATCAAGACATTTTATTTTGCGGCAGAAAATGTTCTGGAAATGAACACGTAAGTAGAAGTGACTGGTCATGTTTCATCCTGTCTCATGCATGAGAACACCCTTTGAAAGTTCATTCTTTCACTGTCAAGCAGCCATTGACAAAGTTATTTGGGGAATTACTGAGTCTAATTTTTCTAAATGGAAGAAAACTATTGCTCTTTGTTCACTAATTATAATTGAAATCAGAATTGCATAATTAGCCCAGTTTTGATACTAATCTTCCCAACAGTTATTGGTATAAATCTCTTTCTGTTAGAGTGGTGCTAAGATTTGATGGCAAGTACAGCACCTGGGAAGAAGTGAGGGGAGAAAGGAAAGAGAGAAAAGTCCCATAAATGATCTAGGACTACAATATAACAGTTTCTGATTTCAGAGTATCATAACAGCTAACAAGGAGGGTTAGATGGATAGAAAGGTCTCTTTCTTTAATGTAAATTAGCATTAACTTCAGCACCAAACTATGCTGCAGTTGAATGATCCTCATGACAGGTCAGAAATTTTCTTTCCACAAATGTCCTGAAGATTAACAACCAAATAGTTCTCAATGGTAGAAGTAAAATGAATATGAATGCTGCCATTTTAGAAACCACTGAGCTATCAGAAAGATATTTTCTATTGATCTAATTTTGGCTGATTTGGATGTATCTCATACCTTTGTCCTTTTTACTTCAGATTGCAGTCTGTTCTCTATGCTATTGCGTTATAAATTATTGCATTAAATGGCCAAATACCAGATACAAAGCAGTGAAATTTAAATGGGAGGAGAGTTCCTGCAACAGTCAGGTCATGGTTTTAATCATGACTCTACTGGTGATCCTTGTGTGATTTTTCACAGGGCAATGACTACTTATTCCCTCTATAAACCTCATACATATTTACCACAATATAAGAAGAGAGAGATTGAGAGAATGTGTGTGACCTTCTGAAAGATCTATAGATACAGAAATGTACAATATTACAGTAGTGTATGTACACAGATATGTATTAATAAATTTGTACTCTACAGATGCATAAAAGTAAATATAGATGAAAAAGAATCTGTTGCCCTTTGCAAGCTGGAGTCTCATGAAGCATTCTGGTGGGGAGATAACCATCCATTTCGGTGTTCCTGTATTTCCCACCAGAGCTCCTGAATGGAGTGACAAGTTCCTGAGGCAGATAGGATGAGGTTGACTGAGAATGTGGGACATCTGGACAGGAATATTTCAGTAGAGAGGGTAACCCTGGTTAAGAGAGAAGAGATGGAAGGACAGATGGAGAAGGAAAATTAGAGCTAATGGAGGATATTAGTAAATTCTAGCAGCCGGTTTGGAGCCCAGCTGAAGATTCTCATGTGGAAAATATTTAGTCTCCTGTGAGTGAGTAAGTGAAATATATGCAGGTGTCTTAGCTCTTATGCCCCAGAACAACTTTGTTACAATGCCACTTCTTGAGTAAATTTCATTTTGGCCTAAAGCTAGGTAGCCTGGAGTTAGAGCAGCCTGCACTATGCTGTATTAACTCCCCATGGTTGCAACTGATGATGTTTTCCTTGGCAAAGTATAAAATACATGCATTTAATACATAAAGTACACGCAATCTCACGCATATGTCAAAACAGACTAAAAGACATCTGTTCTCTTGGCTCCAGTCCTGCAAATACATGTGTGAATGGTTCCACTGAACTCACTGGAGCATTTGTGTGTGTTGAGTTCCTGGTGTGCATAAATGCTTGATGGAGCATGACCTTTTGTAACTCTTCGTGCATATATCGATATATGCATATACCTGTACATATATCTCTATTAAATCAACAGTGGATTTATTAACACAGTCATTTGTTTCACTAATTTGTCATGTATTTGCTATTGTCATGCACACATGAAAAGTAAAGGCATGCTGACTAGCTGCACGGATTTAGCCAGTTGTACGTAGTTATTAGTGACCTGTCTGACCTCGTAATTAATGAAGTCCTAGAATTTTTTAACAAATCTTTTCCTTGTTAAGGTGGATTTTTATTTTTTTAAAAAAAACATTCTGTTAGGATTAGCTGTCAGAAAAGAGCCAATGGACCACTCTTACATAAATGGCACTTTGTTTCTCTGAGTTGTTTGTGGCTCTACTGCTCATACTGCAGTCTAAAAGTGCAGTTACTTTGATGCTGATCTTACTAGAAAATTCCCTATTGCTTTACTAGAACCAAAATCAAACAAAATGGTTTTTTTCCAGTAACAAATTCCTGCCCTTCATACTTCCTCTATATACACTTTGAGTTTTAATCTTAAAAGCTTGAGCTTTTTCAGTGGTTTGTTACTTAAAATGTAGATAGATCTGAATGACCTACAGGCAAACATAATATACAAAAGTTTGGGAATGTTTCTAGCACTGGAAAAATGCAGCCACCTAGGAAGATAAATGAAAAACACTCTGGTTAATAGCTTAAAACAATACAGGAAGTGAGACTTACTAAAACCAAAAGTACATAGCAAGTTGAAAAATGTCATATGTTATGATCAAAAAGTTTGTTTTCAAGTGGCACAGACTGTTGCCATAGTTTTGGCCAGGGCACCTGACATCATCTTCTATGGCTCCCATGCCTTTTCCTTCATCTCAGGTGAAAGATGACACCTCAACAGCTGGACTAATTCACTGACCATTCTTTAACTTACACAAATGCGACTCCCAGGTCATCAGTGGTACCTTTTTTCCAGTTTCAGGGAAAGATACACCAGGCAACTAATCCTGCTCACTAGAGGGAATATTAATATAGAGGTAACTGGTGCCTTTCTAGAAGATGATCTAAGAAATAGAAACTTTGACATTTAGTCTTCAGGCTAGTGAAAACAGATGTGGTGATGTAGAACACAACTGAAAGGAGCAAAACCCAGAGTGAAGAGTATGCGAGTGTCCCTGACTCTGTGTTCCCTCTGTTTCAAACACAGGTGGCTAAGTAAGCTGGGAATGGCTGTAGACCCTCAGGCACCAAACAGGAAGAACGAGGAAGGTATGCTCCTAACTGGTTTCAGTGTGTAAATGCATTGTGTTCGTCACAGTTTTTGCTTGGCCAAATTTTTGTCATCTATTTTCTTTCTTTTGAACTGTCATCTTGGGTCTGTCTACTGTCTGAGCTCAGACTAACCACATTCTCACAGTACAGAGTAATCACAGGAAAAGAAAAAATGGTGAGAAACTGTATGAGTGAGAGACACTAGGTGATCTTGTGAGAGGTGTGTATCTACTTTCTGGCAGTTTGCTGGTTTGCTAAGCCTACCAAGAGTGAAGAAGACAAGCTGTCCTGCTCTGGGTTTTGAGCTGGTGATTTATATTATAGGACTTGTGCTGCAGCATGGCAACGTGCAGGCCTGGGAACACCTTGTGCTCTGCAGACCCATCCCAACAGTGTCCTTCAGTCCTGGAGGTTTCAACAACCTCAGTGTTGGGGGATGAGGGGTGGTACTGCTATTCTGGAGCCTACAATTTGTTTCAGAGCCAAACCTGAGTTCATTATGGAATGAGAAACTTTAAAAGTTCTAAAAAACTAATTTGTTGGCTTAATTTGCACACTGACCTAATAGAACATTGATGGGAGGATAACAGCAGTCAAATCACAGGTCTGGGAAGAGGAGCTGGTTTAGAATGAGAGGTACGCTGGGTAATATTATGTTATCAAACCAAGAATGGACTCTGAGGAATATGTGTCATCACCTGGGTTTTGAGTCTCCATTTTTTGAGTATTGGTACCCAGTGCTCCTTTTAGAACTGCTGAGCTTGTGAAGGAGCTGTCATTATGAAGAAGAAACTGGTATTTACAGTAGTATGACCACTTAGGTGATGCAGCCTGTTTTGTGTAAGCAATGACATGTTCCTCTCTGTGTCCCTTCTGCTTTATCACAAAATTCAAGATTGTCAGTAATGTCCAGGCTTGGGACATGTAATTACATTATTGATTAATTTAATCTGGCTCCATTTATGCTCTGCCATTAAAAGCAGCTTTGGGACTGGTAAACATGGATACTAGTGATTCCTGGAGAATTCAGGAAGTCTCTTCAGTTTCTTTGTTTTCAGTTCACATTTGTTTCTTGTCAATAAACTTGTTAATTCACACACCATCTAATTCCTCCTGCCTGTATCCTGTTTGAAGCCAACTTTATCAAAACTCTTCAGGATTATCTTTAGGATAAAGGGCTATATTGAATATTAGGTTGTGTAGCAAAAACTGCAAATACTTGTACTCAGGGAGGAAGTGTGAAAATATATTGTTCATCTTTTCATGAAGGGAAGAGTTCAATGGAAAATGGAAACAGCAAAAATTTTATACATTAAACAAATTTTTTTAAACATCAAAAAATGTGATACTGGTTGTATTGGTTGAATTGAGAATTAAGCAATAAAAAATGAGTCATTTCATCAATCTTAATCTAAAAAAAATAATCCAAAAGATATAAAATAATCCATTCAATAACTTCTGCAACAGGTTATCAATAATTTTGCAATAGCACAACCTAGCCAATACTTCTTCATCTTTTAAAGATAGTCACCCATTTCCCCCTCAGGTAAAGGCCTTCTGATGCTGGTGTCAAACACCTCGTTGTCTTTTCATGTGTGTTTTGTCACAGGTGATCCAGCAGCTCCCTTCAGGGTGGGTGCAGCACCCACTGGTGCCTGGGTGGACATGTCCTTACAGAAACATTGCTGTGTTTCATAAAAACACTGTCTCTACCCATAGTCACTTCTATTCCTGCTGACCAGTTCTTCCTCTCTGTATCACACACCATAACTCTTCAGAGTCCTGGCTCTTTCTGTAACATTTCTTGTGTATTCAGGTACTTTCTGTGCATTTTAACACCGCACCCCCCCCTACCATTTCCCTGTTTAGAGTATCAGAAACAGCTGTTGATCCTTTTTCAGTTTTTTGTGTTTTGTGTGTTTAAAAGGGGAGCTGTAGAAAGCATAAGCTTTTTACTGAGTTGCTCAAAAAGGCATTAATAGAGTGCTAGAATTTGATATAGGCCTTGTTGCAGCCAACTTCAGTTCTTTATGCTTAGATGTGCCAGCATATATCTCCAGTAAACAGAATAGAATCTATGTTACTCAAAACCCTACAGTTCTGCAAAAAGTATAGGGAGGAAAAATGATGAACCTCTTTAAGCTTCTCTTTGTTAACATGTTACAAAACTGTCTCCCATGGACAAAATTCTTCTCTCTTTCAACTTTATTCCCCTCACTCTGTGCTTACTAACCCTCACCCTCCCCCTACAATAACATGCAGAAAAATAAAGCATGTGGGTATTAAATGAGTTAATTTTAGATGAAATAATCTCAGGTGACTGTCCAGAGGCCACGCTAACACACTGCTTCCTAGTGGTGTGAGCCCCTGAAGTCCAGCTCTGATGAGGAACCAGCTGGACTTAAGCAACTCCTGCTCTTTGGGGCAGAGCTGGACAGAGGCTCTTGAACAGCACAGGCTGCTGAATGCATGTGGCCAGCAAAGGGCAATGCTGGATCCCATGGACACCACAGGGACAGCAGCCTCTGTTCTGTGACCCTTGGCACTCAAAATGTCCTCATCAAGCTCCAACTTTGTCTTTGCAAACTCTCATGTTCCCAGCTCAGTGGGGTAGGGGTGAGTGCTGTCACCCTGCATGTGTGGTGCGGGGCAGGATGCGAGCACTTCCTCCTGTAAAGGTTGCATTTCTGTTGGGAAATGTAGCAAAAGTGATCTTTGTGGCCTTTCTGTGCACAAATAGGACCTGTAAGAAAGATGGGAGCAAACACTTTAGCAAGGTAGACTGGACAAGGGGTAATGGTTTAACACTAAGAAAGAGACAGTTTAGACTAGATATAAAGATGTAATTTTTTACAGTGAGGTTGGAAAAACACTGAAACAGGTGGCCCAGAGAGATGGCAGAACCTCCATCCCTGGAAACATTCAAGGTCAGGCTGGACCCAGAGGCTTGGTCTAGTTGAAGGTGTCTTTGCTCATTGCAGAGAAGTTGGATTATATGACCTTTTAAGGTCCCTTCCAAACCAAACTATTCTATGATTCTATGATCTTGTCCAATGTTTACTATTGCCAGGTCCTGGGCATAAGAACCAGCAACATTCTGCCTCCCCTTTTCTGTGTCTAATTTTATCAATGATCATACTTCATTTAATCTACCTTTAAACAAGTTTGTTGAAAATGTTTTCACGTGCTGCACATATAGTTGAAAGAAATAACAGCATTACTGCCTCCTCCAAAAGTCAAGAGATATTGAGGCTCCTATGAGTATATCTTCCAAAGCTGGATATGAACTATCTGTTTACTCTGAAATTGCAGCCAAAGCCCCAATGCCTGTTGCTAGCTCCAGGAAAACTCACTGGTTACAGAGATTAAGGGATTGCCTCTGCTACTTGCAACAGCTCTCCAGCATTCCCACAAGTGGATTAGGAGACACTGATTTGTTAAAGTGTAGTCCCAAATCCAGAACACCCTTATTGGTGATCTTTGGTTGCCACAGAGCTGCAAAGAGTAATCTGTTGGTCTAACTCTTTATTTTTGCTCATTTTCCATGTCTACCTCAGAATGCTACAGTGAAAGTGAACATGACGATCCAGAAATAACAGACACGCCACCTCCACCCTACACAGTCCAGACACCACCTCCTCCTTCGGTAAGTGCTCCAGTTACTACCTTGTTTCTTGTTGCAAGCAGGTTGAAACAGAACTCTCCTGAGGTGGTGGACCTCTAGAAATAACCTAAAACATTGTCTGGAAACATCCACACTGAATTCCAGTGAAACCTTCATGCACAGACTGCCCACCCCTTGGCAGAGCACACAGCTGGGACATCCTGCACCACAGGGAGCTTTGCACTGTAAAAGATCAGCTCCTTACTATTTATCTTGCTGGAGAAAGGAAGGTGTTGTTCTGCCTCATACACAAATCGTGTCTTTTCTTTACAAGTTTTTTAACATACCACTATAAGCTGGTTTTTTCATACTATTCTTTCTCTTTTTTAAAAATCCATCCTGAAGCCTCTCTCTTTTTGTGACCTTGGTAACACATCCAACAGCTTCATTTTTATTTATTTGAGTGAGCTGTTTTTAAGACTGCTGAATTTGAAGCTGCTTTTATGGCAGTGAAGAGAAGGGAAAGAGGCCTCTTCACACAGAGATAAAAATCTGTTTTTTTTTCTTCTACCTCTGAAAAATAGACTATGAAAAAAGAAAATAGGCATTCTTCCAAAATCTATGTAGCATATTGTCCCAGAATATTCCTTCCTGTCTCTCTTAATTTCATAAATTAAAATTAGAGCTATGAACCCTCATGAGTCTAATCAAATTGGCTTGCCTAATTATTATCTCCTTTTTGCCCTATTAATCTTGTTTCTATACTGTTGTTTTTCCAGTGGTCTCATTGCTCTTACACGTAATTTAAGTGGATTAAAAAAAAAAAAAATTAAAAATTTTTCCATTTTAAATTTTTTTTAAGTAATGAAAGAAAAGTTGTTAATTTGCTATGACAGGAAGCTTCACTAGTAGGTTTGGGGTGGGTTTTTTCCTTCTCTTTGCAGGCTTTAAAAGAAAAGTTTCATTTGTAGTAGAAATCAACTGTTGCAAGTAGCAGAGGTAATCCCTTAATCTCTGTAACCAGTATTTTTAATTTTTATATTTTTTTCCATCAAAATTGAAAGTTTACATAATTCTGTGTTTAGAAATGACTGTTCTGATTTGGGCTGGCAATAAGGAATCCTGATTCAAGCCTTTCCCTTCACTACCTGAAAGTTAACACTGAGAGGTGTGCAGCAATATTGAATACTGAATATTCTCAGGGCATCTCATGGAAGGGAAGTGTCTGCTGCCTCACTGCTGTGGTACAAGTTCCTCTGTGGCACGCTGAAATCACATCCAGTAGCTGGGGTGGGCACAGGAGCAGCGAAGCAGGAGCAAATCCGAAATATACAGATGAGCTAGAGAAGCTTGTGCAATCGCAGGCGTTTATAAAGGAGATGTCGCGGACAGGACTGCCTGTCTGGCGGTCTCTAAGTAGCTCACATAAAGCTGGGAGAGCATGTCATACAGTCACCCACTTGCCCCCCCTTATTTTCAGTCAGATAAGTCAGTCTTCACTTCCTCTCCTGAAACGTGCAACATTTATCACTAGAACAATCCGCCTGGCGCTCGGGGGTGTGAGGAGTTGGCTGCTGTAGAACCTTACTCTTTATTTATTGCCTGCATTAGCTGGAAGTTAAGTGTGACTGAGTGACTATAAATTTCAGAGAAGAGAAGAACTTTGGCAATATGTCTCCCACAGTTATTCAGGACCATGGGTCAGTTAACAAAGCATCTCGAATTTCATACTTCAGTGGCTTGCCTTTAGGAGGATGGAGATGTGTTTTCCGTCTGCTCACCTCTGAGCGAATGCCTGCGTTTTTCCAGATGATGAGTTTTAAACAGGTGCTGTTTTTAGTTTTCTGCTTTTCTGGTTTCCTGCTTCTTGTTGGTCTGTTGCTGCAGAGGCGATCTCCGGTTGTCTCCTTCCCATATGCTCCTCTTGAGTGCTGGCCTCCGCATTTTGGCAGGGAACACGTGGGAGGCAGGCAGTGGTGCAGATGCCGAGGGATCCTGCTTTCTCAAGCTTTTCCTTAAAGGGTATCTTCCTTTCAGCCTTTACCTTTGTCAGCTGATTTCCCTTCTTCTTATCCCTGAAAATCCCTTCCCTTGTGGACAAAGGTTAGTGTCTCCTGAGCAAGTGTCATCTTTTCACCCCAGAACTGCCCGCTGGAATAAACTCCTTTTGCTGTGGGACTGCCCCAGGCTCAGCTCACTTACATAGTGAATAGGAACAGCTCTGTTTGACTGCAAGCCAGAGTGTTCTAAATACTGTATTTAGTATCCCTTTCACTTCTGGACAAGTGCTGAAAGAAAAAAACCACTGGAATCATTGGGAAAGTGCAGCTTCTACTAAAAACTCAATTCTAGGTTTGAAGCCTGTGATTGTCACAGGGAGGGCTGGTTAAACACAGCTCTCTGCCTGTTTCTTTGTTGCAGAGTTCTTGAACCAAGCTGTGAAATCTCAAAAATGTGGTGGATTTGGTTCATATTCTGTGGGTACGGCACTTGGCCTACTTCAGCTTTCTCAAATTGCTACTGGAAGTGACACTTATCTTGTCAACTCAGCTCAATGCCAGAGGCATTGGCTGAACTTAATTTCTTTTTATTATTTCAAGTAGAAAGGCCTCCAAACTTCTTGACATCAACTCCAAACCAAAAATTATTACTCTGGAAACTAACAAAAACCCAGGTGTAGGCTCTGTTACATTTTAGAGTTGCAAACACTTTGCTGTCCCTCTGGCACAAAGTTTGTACTTGCTGTTCTATTCTCTGCTGACTCAAACCATTTTGAAATTTGCAGGAGATAAAAGTAGTGATGGTGAGGTTCCATGTGTTTGCATGGGTTTGGGAATTGTGGAGGAAAAAAGCAAGTGAGGAACAAGTAATTTATAACATCTGTAAAAAAACCATCTGGTTAAACTGACCACCTGCATTAATTTGTTCACGTGTGAATGGATATGCAGTTAAAAAAAATCAGATATGTTGAGACAATAGATTGTAGCAGCAGCAGCCAAAAAAGCTGTGGAAGAGTTTCATGGTCATAATTTTTCTCTAAAAAATATCTAGAGACTCATTAATCTCCAGTGAAATCCTTATGATCTGCTTTTTAAAACATCCCCAAATGGAAATTTATTATCATATGGATGATTTCAAAATTTCCAAAGGAGTCACTCAAATAAGTCAGGTAAACATTTGTCATGCCAAAGAAAAAACAAAACAAAACAATATGCAGAGAAAAAGAAACACCTTCTGGCAGTCATATTTATTCTCACTCATATTTTTTAATTAACACACAATGAAAACAAAAATATATTCCCCTCAGTGAGGCACAATCTTCATTTCAATTACTTTTTTTTTTTTAATGGACAAATTCCAGAAAAATGGAGGCGTGATCCAATATCTTCCTTTTCTAGTTTTGAACAATTTAGAGCAAATTAAACCATCTACAATTATATGGGCAAGAGCTGTTACTGTTTGGTAGTTCTGCTTGACTTTATAAACTCTTTAACAATTTGTCTGTGTGATAGAAGCTCTTTGGTGAAATGCTTCATGTCACCTGTGCTCCCAAGGGCATTTTTAGCACTCGCAGTTTACTACAGCATCTCCTTTGCTTGAAGATGCATATGTGAAGGTTTCTGTTTCAGAAACAAAACCACACCTGAAACACAGTGCTGTACTTTCCATAGGGGAATATAAATGTCTGGGTCCTGCAATGTTTGGCACAGTCTTATAGGAATTGTGAAAGGACCAGAGAACCTGTCTTATGAGAGATGGGTTTGTTCAGTCTCAACAAGAGGGGGCTCAGGGGAGACCTCATTGCCCTCAACAATTCCCTGAAAGGAGGGTGTAGCAGGTGGGGGCAGTGCCTACAGTGACAGGACTGGAGGAAGTGGCCTTAAGCTGGGACAGGGCAGATTCAGATTCAATATTAGACAATTTTTTTTCACCATTAGGTTGGTCAGGGATTGGAATAAGTTACCCAGGGAGGCGATGAAGCCATCATCCTTTGGAACCTTCAAGAAGGATCCAAAGCCAGTGCTGGGTTATGTGGTTTAGGGGTTGCAGTGGAAGTCTTGGGTACTTGGCTGGACTGGATGATCTTGAGAGTCTCTTCCAACCTTGACAATTCTATGACTCTATGAATGGTTTTGAAAATTTACAAAAACAAATAAGCTGCTATAAACAAATAGTGCTCACAGTCTGGTATAAGTCCTCCTCATCCTCTGAATTGACTACTTGTTGCATGATGCTATATTAGAAGCACAGGAAGGTTTTTCTGTTTTAATATAAGAAGGAAGTAGTGTACATTACAGTATAAAACACTGAATTGTGGAATTTGAAAATCATTATAAAAAAATTGTTACTCTTGATTTGATTTATTTGAATAAAGTTTTTATCTGGTTTACTGGGTTATAAACAGGTATTCCAGGCATTTACTGTTTTCAGCTTTTTCAGGTTTCCCTAGCAACACCTTCTCAGTAAGTTTCAGTATTTTCCATCTAGTTATCATCTATTTTAATACTTACACAGATCTATTCTACATAAATATTGAGGACAGAAGCTTACCAGAATTGTGGTCCATCAAGTCTGGTATTCTGATGCTGCCATTGGCCAGTAGGAAAAGGTATGCAGAAAGAGTAAATTTCTGCAGCAGCAAGAAACCTGTCTTTCGTATCATGATGATATCATCACAATTTCTGATATTTTCTGCTAAGCCTTCTTGGCCTGGTGAACAATTATCCCTTGAATGGACTAGGAAACACACTTCCTTACTGTACTTCAGTGCTTGGTACCCCTTCTGTCTATCTCTGGTTATTGCACTGGTGGAACTGTTGAGTGCTTTGTGTTCAATGGCTAATTTGGAGGTTTTCTTCTTCACTCTTGATTAGACCAATAAAGTGAAGACAAATTAAAGAAAGAAGACTAGTGTGAGACCTACCACAGAAGGCTACATTCAGCATAATAGTTTTCCTTGGTCTTTGCTTCTAGGCATTGTCAGGTTTATATCTCTTTTGCCTTTGGCTTCCTGGTGGCTTGGTTTCTGAAGTTACTGCTCTGTAGGAGATTGATTGCCACACCACAGGCTTGTTTGGATGAATAAGTAACCAGATTACATCAATTTTTGTATTTCAGCTGCATAACTATATAACATGTAGAACCTAGAAACAGGAGTAATTTGTAAATAACTATTATTTTTTCTTCCCCCCTTCCTGCCCCTCTT